AAGAATATAATAAACCTTGCTGGTCTTGAGAGCAGCTAAACAGTGTCCCAAAAAATACATTAAAACTGCCCAACATGTATTATTGGTTTCTCCAAAGTAAGCCATCACCACATCGTGGCGCCAGGATTTTTTTTTTCTGTGTTCAAACCCTAGAAAATCTCTTTTTTTTTTTTTCCATTTTGTGACTTCAACGTTGTGGCTTGCAGAATGCCTTCGAACAAGCGCAATGACACACGGAGGACATCCATCCATCCATCCATTATACACCGCTTAATCCTCACTAGGGTCGCGGGGGGGCTGGAGTCTATCCCAGCTGACTCAGGGTGAAGTCAGGGGACACCCCGGACAGGTCACCAGTCCATTGCAGGGCCACACTTAGAGACAGACAGTCACACTCACATTCACATCTACAGACAATTTAGAATCACGAATTAACCTCAACATGTTTTTGGACTGGACTGGCGACCTGTCCAGGGTGTCCCCTGCCTTCGCCCTAAGTCAGCTGGGATAGGCTCCAGGTGTATAGATAATGGATGGATGGATGTTTTTGGACTGCGGAAGGAAGCCAGAGAACCCAGAGAGAACCCACGCTGCACAGGGAGAACATGCAAACTCCACACTGAAAGATCTCAGGCGTCCTTACTGGGACATGAATGGGATCTTCCAGCTGTGAGGCGATGGTTCTAACCACCGAGCCAGCACTTAAAGAACGATCTTTTCAAAACTGTTTTGGACCGTTTATACAAGGACCTTCCACACATATCATGCTTCTCAACCTTCTGATTATTTGCCATCATTACATTTAGCTTATGTGATCATATATTTCTATTTGTATATTAAACTTATGCAAACACATTGTTCAAATACACTTGATTATATTTTCTTTGTGAGCCATTTTAAACATTATCAATACCATTTAATATTTCTATATTGTGAAAAGTCATACAGTCTGGTGTGAAAAAGGTCTTTCTAGCAATATTTTTTTAGGAATATATGAGTATCCATTCGTAATACTTTTTTTTGGGGGGGGGGATTTTCTAGCATGCCCTGTGATGTGAAGCCTCGGTTTCTGGTCCTGTATGGGTCTCAGAAGGGCCAAGCTCAATCCATAGCAGAAGGAATAGCTGAGGAAGCCGAGGAGCAGGGACTGGTTGCTGATCTCAGCTGCTTGAATGAGAATGAGAAGGTACATTTAAATAACTTCAGCTTGGACAAAGCTTGGAGTCCCTCTTCTAATGCATGGCTTGTATCAGTAACAATTTATTAAATGTGATGTTGCCTGATCGTGTGAATGTTAATGTTTTCATATGGACTGTGGAAACACTAGTCACTAATTAATCATATAACTGGTTCCAGTACAATTTGGAGAAGGAGAATGCCCCAGTGGTGTTTATTGTGTCTACCACTGGAGATGGGGAACCGCCAGACAATACGCTACAGTTTGTAAAGCGCATCAAGAAGAAGACCCTCTCCACTGACCACTATAAACACCTTTGCTATGCACTGTTAGGTAAATTCTTTTATGAGGGTCTGCGGTAGCTCTTTTTGTAGTTCAATATGGGAGCTTAATTTGCAAAGCATTTGTTTCAATCATTACAATGCAGAGCACTGCACATTGTTTACTGTCTGAACAGTTGCTGGAGAAGTGTCATCTGTTTTCCGCTGTCTGCTCCAGCTTTAGGAGACACAAATTATGCAAATTTCTGCAACTGTGGGAAGACAATTGAACGTCGTCTACAGGAACTTGGAGCCAAACAATTCTATGCGACGGGATATGCAGATGACGGTGTAGGGTAAGTTCTGCAGAGGACTAAAGCACAGGCATCCAACTTTCAGCATTTGGCATTTAACCTGCATTATCTTATTTACACTGCTGTAATTAATCATCTTGTGGACTTTGTTTTCTCCAGCCTGGAAGTAGTCGTGGACCCCTGGCTTGAAGGACTGTGGAATGCCATCAAAGGAGCCTTATCAAAAATGGCTTCTGATAGGACTGCTCACTTAAAAGCAAATGCAGAGGATTCAGCTAAAGAAACTCCTGATTCATCCGTACCAGATGTCCAGATAAACCTCTTAAGCATCACTGACCAGAACTGCGAGTCAGTCGGAGCAGCTGTAGTAACGGACTCCAAATTTGCATCTGCTGCTTCATCTTCAGCTTCTGTCGCTTCTGATCTCAGGCCAGCTTCTCCTGCAGGGAGCCACGCATTGGCATCCCAGTGTCATGACACTGCCAGCATTCCTACATCAGCACCACAACCACAGAGCGGGGATGCTGGAGTTTCCCGTGTTGTACTGGCAGCCTCACTGATATGCTCCCTGCCTCCACTTTCTGAGTCCTCACTTAATGTTCCTGCTCTGCCTCCTCCCTACTTAGATGTCTCTCTTCAGGAGGTGGACACTATAGAACAGGTGATGAATATTGCTGCTGAAAAAAACAGTGTTTGTGTCATACTTTCCATACTAATATAGTTTCTTTTTTCCTTTCAGATTGTTGGACCCATGATCAAAGAGACTTTTCATCAGGTGCCCATATCCAAAGCAGTCCATCTATCAAGAGGAGATTCCGTCAAGACAGCCCTTCTCCTAGAACTCGACATATCTGTAAGCATGACAAACATAATGTTCATTAAGGAAAACTGTATAGATTTAGATAACACTTTAAACTTTGTATGTTTCCTCTTGATTCTCAGGCTTACCCAACAATGACGTGTCAGCCAGGGGATTCTTTTGATGTGCTCTGCCCAAACAGAGCTGCAGAGGTGGACAACATGCTCATCAGACTGGGCCTTCAGGAACAAAGAAACCAGCACGTCAACATTACTCTAAGAAAGGACACGAAGAAAAAAGGCAATCCTGCAGCTGTCAAATAATTTTAACTTGTGGGCAAAAAAAAAAAATGACACACTGTATCTCAAGAATCACAGCACGCTGCATGTACATGTTTTCCATTTTCTCAAAGATCCTTGTGTTTGTGAAACTCATATCTGCCCTGTTGAGATCATCCTGTAACGCTGTTTCCTCCCTTGTTAAAGGTGCCCAGGTGCCAGCTTACATCCCGCAGAACATTTCTTTGCTGTCCCTGCTCACATGGTGTCTAGAGATCAGAAGTGTTCCCAAGAAGGTACAGTATGTCCAAACATTACTCTGCAGCTACCTATTTTGTAAACTTCTTAAGACGGGCTCCTTTTTAATGTGACATCCTGTTTGTTGTTTTTGCGTATCAGCGTAATAAGACGGATGTGTCTTTTTTTTTTTTTTTTTCCTCTCTCCTCCAGCTAGTGCCCGCTGCTTTTATTTGTTGTGTCAGAGCTCAGGGAACAGTGTGTTGTTTTTCATGTACAATTGTATTTATACTTTATTATTTTTTTTTTTTTGCTGAACAAGCTTAGTGGTGCTCAAATGGTTGATGTCAGCACTGAGTCTGGACCCACAAGATTTGAAGGGGTTTCATAGTTTGGTTTAATAAACTGAAGAAAGACTGGATTTACTAAGTCTGGGTCCAAGGCGGAAATCGTGATTAAAATTGCTTGGTCCTCTGTGGCAGTGTGGGATTGCAGTCACATTTGGTGCCTGAAAATGTCAGCAATCTTGAGCTTTGGCAGTGCCTAAGATTTGGCGGAGGATATTGCCTGCATTAGTTTCACTCATCTCCCTGGATGATATTACATTCCCTTAAACACAATCACTATGTTAGCAATGAATACCTTGTAATACTCCTTATCCTGTTTCTATCTCTTATCCTTTTCACAGCATCTTGTTTTTTGTTCTGAAAGTTTAATTTGTTATTGAATAAAAAAAAAAAGTCAGAAAAAGTTGAAAACCATTAATATCCATCTGGCGTGAGCTGCATCAGTAGTTTACTGTTAATTGTAAACTGTACACAGAATGACAAAAGGAAGACAATAAATGGCAACAACCCAACAGCTCTAATATTAAAAGAATTTTAAGTGTTGTTCAGCAGACAACACAATATTGTTTAGATCCCCAAATTAAACCACATTTACAACAGAATTTCTATTTTATGATAATAGCGTACTGGACAGTATCATTAACATAAGTAAACATTCATTAAAAAAAAAAAAGTGACACTAAAATAATACAAAATAAGATATGGCTCAGCCAGAATGATTTATTAGGAGACACTAGGGAAACAATTATACTGGATTCTTTCCCTGATTACAGTAGAGAAGCTCTTTAAGTGACCAGATCAAATTGATAATGTGTCAGAAGGATATAGAACATCTACATTTTAACAGCCACCGTCGGTTCAGTTCCCTGGAAGGTCCCTGGAAACAAGTTGTGCGCGGACTTCTTTATTAAATTCCTGCACAGAAATTGATTGTTCCAGGCCAAGCTGTTGTCTGCAAACTTACAAGGCGATAAGATTTTTATTTTACAACACCTATCTGTGTAATCCAAGTGGTTAAACTGTTTCACTAAAGCAATTACAATGCCTATAATTTTTAAACTCCACTATTCTCAGGATAGTGAAACATAATCACCGCTACATCTTAGCAAGTACGATTCCCAATAGTATGTGCAACAGCATCAAATACAGGTAGATACTCTTGCATATCCCTACTTAGCATTTCTACTGAGACCAATGTTAGAATATATTATTCACTCCATCCAGAGACTGTGACAGATGCAGTCTTTTTTTTTTTTGCCAGTATTCAAATATCCAGTGAAGTACTTCCCGCACAGGATGGACTGGATGGTGGTAATAATTCTTTCATCGCAAGCTACAAGAATGCGCCACTAATCTCTGCACACATGCACAAACCCTAATGAATCAGCAAGATTATACACAACACTTAGGCATGACAAATATTTAGAAGTTGTGATTACCGCATCGGCTCGATTCATGGTTGCAGGATAAAGTCAAACCACTTCAAAAGTTAAGCAGGAGCTTTTTAATCTTCTAATTTCAATCACTGCTTACAATAAGAATAACAAGCAGCCCATTAATGAAATGGCAATTAAACCGCAGCATGTCTTCTGCTAATGTAACATATTAACAGATTGTAATAATTGCTTTTGATGAATTAGTTTGAGGATTAAAAGATTGCCCGTTTGCCTCTGCTAATTTCTCAGTAGCTTTAAAAGCATTTAAAAAGTAAATGACAGTGTTATGATGGCAGAAACTGCTTTGTGCATATTAAAACAGCTGTATTACATAACTGACTCGGTGTCAAGGTCTACCTCCAGAGTTTTCATTTACTGGGGAAACTTACAAAGACATACTTTTTTTATATGAGCTGTGTACGATTTGGCACCGAGGTCTGTCCCGCTGCAGTGTGAGAAAATGAAGCCGGCTCTTCTTTTACACTCGCTCAGTCTCTCATAAGGTCAGCTGTTAATGGAAACCTTGAAACACTGCAACAGTCATGACCATTGTTGCTGATGGAGGCGCAGGACCGCTCCAAGTGACAATGCATTCGATTTCTGTGTCTCTGTCAGGCATTTCTGCGAGCGCTGGTGGAGCATACGAGGGACAGTGTGCAGAGGAGGAGACTGCAGGAGCTCTGCAGTAAACAAGGTGCCGCAGACTACAACCTTTATGTGAGAGACCCGAGCCTCAGCATTTCGGAGCTTCTCGCAGCCTTCCCATCCTGCTCACCTCCACTCAGCCTCCTCATAGGTCAGACTCCCTGCTGTTAACTTGCTCACTCAAGTCAGTCTTAAGGTCAGAATTTCTCAAAAAAAAATCACAGAAAAATCAAAGATAGATGCTACGTATATTGTATAACAGACGACATGAAACCAGCTCGAATGTGCTAAATTTGTATTCATAATTGCTGTTTGGCTCAAGCTTCCTGTCACTGAAGCTAAACTTTATCCTGAGCACACATCTAGTGATTTTTTTTTTTTTAAAGGTGTTTTTTGTTTTGTCTCTTGAAATTTACTATTATAATAGACGCATGCATAATTAAAAGCAGGTTTTCATGTACCCTGCAGCAAACGGGGGAGTTCAGTGATTGACATTAGAGTGGGATTTTCACTGCACCTGCACAAAACGTCAGTGGAATAATTTGCTTCACAGCTATTTGTTTCACTTTTCAAAAGACCTCGGGTTATGTCGAGGCTGCCTTGTGTGTTTAATATTTGGGTTGGTTCGTCTGTCTGGATAATTCTCATCCAGTAGGGGTCACTGCAACCTTAGCAAAGCAGGTTTTTTTCAAGCTCAGTCTCATGGTTGATTTTCTCAGAGCAGTTAATTATACCGAATGGTCAGACAGTGTGCATCAGAAGGCTTCCCAAGGGTCAACACTCATTTCCTTGTCTCATTTTTGAATCCATGCAGCTCCAGTAGTTTTTTTTCTCTTGTCACAGTGTCTGTAAATATAACGGCGCTACTGTAGAGTCAAGATATCTTTTCCAGGTTTCTTCACTATCTCCTCCCTGCTAATAATATTGATCATTTTTCGCTGCTGCCTGCCGTCTCCGCTCTTCTTTTCTTTTGACCCTTGGAGCCAACTGTTGGTAGAAAACTAACATTTTCTCTCAGCTCATTAAGATAGTTGGCTGGTCATTCAGTACAGATCTAATAAGCTTTGACTGAAACTTACCAGACAGTGAAATTAGTTGGCTTCAGTTTTACATACAAGTTGAGTTGTCCTCTAAAACAGCTGTGTCACAGCTCTTGGCCTACCCCAATGTCAGTTATTTTAGGCCTACTTGCCAACCACAGCACCTTTTTCAGTGGTGAACTGATGCAGAAATTGGCAATCGGGACAATCGTGCCCTCGTGAAAAATGCGGTGTTGGAGGGCCTTTGGGGTAACAGCTGTTGTGTTTTTTGAAACTGGTGAGCCACTGAGCTTAGCAAGGACACAAATATGCAGGGTCAGTTTGGATCATAGGTTAATGGTCAGCTCTGGCTCTCCGTGTCGCCGTTTAAGTACGCTGCTGCATTTTTTGCACTATTCTTGGTTCATTACCCCGACTGAAGGGGAGGTGTTTGCTGACTAGAGGTTAGGCTGTTATACATTAACTGTAAATAATGAGGAGAGAGGTGTCTCGACCCAGATGTCTTTGGCCAAGAGCAGGCTGCGTATTAAAGTAAATGCCGGGTATAAATGGAGAAAGATACCTGCTTCTCGGAGTCAGCTCTCTTGTTATATGGTCCATTGTTTCATATAGAGTGTCAGATAAAAACTTAAGGGTCATAGCCCCAGGGAACTGAATGCTGTCCATGAGCATCTTTTTCAATTTACTTTACTGCAGGGATCAGATGAAACTGTACCAGGGTGCAGTTTTATTCTTTTTTTTTTGGCTTGATTGTGACTTGTGGAACAAAGTAAAGTAAAGTAAAGGAATATGTCTGTATCCCAAGAGGCTCTTTCACTCTGTAACAGTATGAAGTTTAAAATGAATTTGCCTGGTCACAGAGAACACACTGCCTATCACATATATTCCCACTTTATTCATTTAAGCTATAATAAAATGCCATGGAAAATGTTTAAGTGGTTTTGGAAAACCATGAGCTAGCAGGTCTTTTTCTCAGAAGTAACTTGAAATTAGCATTTGTAAGCTATTAAAAGCTGTTAAAACCTTCCCAAGGAGAATTCCTCTTAATGCTTTAATGCTAACAACCTCCCTAATTTCAAGCACAACCAAAGAAACTATCCATAAATCTTAAGAAGTATATACTTTTATGCTCAACCACATTGCTATCTCACTTCCCCCCCCCAACTAAAATGGTACCTCTGCATATAAATTGCAGCACAGAGACTTTCGAGATGGAATAGATTATATTGTTGTGCAGTATGATCGATGGTACCCCTGAAATGATCATTTCTGAAAACATAGTGGAGATCCTGGCACTGTATTTTTTTGGAACAGAGACCTTTTTTTTTTTTTGAAATACATATTTTAAGATGTATCCTCAAGCCACTGACTGCAACAAGAAAAAGCTTTGCGCTCAAAAGGTTTTAAAAGTGATATATCCTTTGTATCTACCAGCAGTATCATCATGGTGCAGTGATGTGAGATGATGGATTGATTGTCCTCTGCTTGAGACATGTGCTGTCACTCTGTGATAGAAAGGCAGCAACTCGAGCGCTGTGCAGCTGCAGAGGATACTGTTAACGTACATGATACACCTCCTGATGGAGAGGTGTGTGCTTTCACTGATGGAAAGGATCACCAGATATATTGTATGTGAAGATTTGTCCAAAAAGATTTTTGCACTTTAGATGGCTTCTCTTTTTTGAGCAACTTTGAAAATATGAAAGATTTTTTTTTTTAAATCCACTGTGTTGCAGCTTAGCCTTAACTATTTCCAAAGATTTATTTAGAAATGATTTACTGTGAGTTGCAACCTCAGTACAAGCATATTAATTATAACAGAGCAAGGCCAGCTTTGTAATCTTGCTCACCTTGTATGTCATTAATACATTTTGAGCCTCTAGGTCTAAACATTTGGACTCCTTGTTCAGGGAAAAATACATTAAAGTTAGTTTATATTTCCATGTCATGCTGAACATGGAGCTCATCCCACAGAGGATTTGAAAACACAGCTATTTATCAAAAATACAATAAAAGCATCTCAATGAAAATTTGCATGTCAATAAATCTGCCTTTCCTCTTCCACACTGATGTACTTTGCAGCTTCAATTTAAAAAAAAAACAGTAAAATACCAAATCTCAGCTGGATGCTAAACATCTTTGCTTTACTCAGATCATTTATAAATAATATGATAATACCAATTCATTCATATTTTATTATTCTAATGTACTAAGTTGTTTTTTTAGTGTTATTGCTGTTGGCCCATTGTTCTTTACTCTCTAAAACTGACTGTGTTACTTTCCGTCACTGTTTTTGGTGTTCTGGTATCTAAGGGATTAGTTTTTAGTGGCAGACTGCTGCTTCAGCAAAGCAGTTTGTCTAAAAAAAAAAAAAATCTTTTTTCAAACTTACTTTTAAGTGTTTCCTGCATCACCATTTTCTTGTGAAATAAAAAAAAAAATCTTGACACAAAGAGATGAAATGGACGTCAAAGTGCGGAGCTGTCTCTCTAACACCCTGAGCTGTTCAGATGTCGGAGAGATCCAGAAACAGAGGAGAGAGCAGATTTAGTCCAGCTGTTTGTCTTTCTGAGCAATTTAGCAGAAAAATGTGTTATTGTAAGGCCTCAGCTGGTACATATGGTGCAGCTTTACTTTTCCCGCTTCATTTATCACCTAGATACAAATAAAATGTAAGGGAGTACAAAGCGAGTGCGTCACGCAACTCTCAATCACTCTCTTTGCCCACGTCTAATCAGCGGCGCTGCTTACTGCATGCAGAACGGCGACTCCTGTTGCTACTGGGGGAAAACTTAGTGCGAGCTTCTTGTAAGTTTTCCTGATTTTACTGACATCTCCTCATGCATACAATGCGCACGACATATTACCCAAAAGAGGGCACCTTCATGGCTGGCATTGAAATAAGGTCTGCATACGCAATCTGTTTCCTACTGGCTCCACATCTGGACGCTTGGGATTCCATAACCCTGAGTTGGTAATTTCATAAATATAGAAGTGTGTCCTAGAAACAAGACTGTAACCTGGGTGGGGGTTACCGAGGATAGATTGGTAGGTAGGACGTCTCGGCGGACCGAGATGACTTTCACATATTTTGTCTCCTCTCAGTCATTGGTGTCTGTGTAACCAAATCTTAGCAAGGCAGCAAGAATGACTGACAGTTGTGCTTGCTTTTCAGAGCATTTGCCGAAACTGCAGCCCAGGCCTTATTCAGCAGCCAGGTAAGGTGACAGAAAAATAACACTAAAGCTTACATCTTGTCCTGTGTAGAACTGCGCACAACTGTGACTCTGACAACATCGTTTATCTGGTCTTCATAAATATGCATCTCTTATTTTTTGTTCTTGGCAAATGATCCTGGAGGCTTAAATCTTTTTAATTGCTCCTGATATTTTCTCGCTACACAATGAGTGAGAAGTAAAGATTGTACAAAAACTGTGGATTTAAAGAATCAATAAAACTGACGACTAATTGAGTGATCTTAAACAGCGTTTGAAAATGGAAATGGTTATTCCCTGACTTTTTTTTTTTGATACAATGATGTATAATTTAATTTAAGTATCATTTACACACTCTTTTATCATTTACACAACTACAGCAGACATGTTGTCTTTCAATGTCTTGTTTGGTGTTACAACATTCTAACCTCATTTTGAAAAGCTGCTGTTGATGCTTTATTCGTGTGCAGGCGTCATGATAGATCGCTAAATCCTCATGTTTGTTTGTTTGTTTGGCGCTACTAGACAAGAGAGTCAGAGTTTGCATGATAAAATATGTATTGATCTCGCACAATTGGCAGCTAGATAATGCAGTGTGTTGCTCACTGGAGATTTGCTATTTTGCCAACTCCTTCGCAGGGGTGGATTAAGCTTTCAAATTATCTGACATTTAAGAGAGTTAAAGAGTGAGAGAGTTCATAATGTGAAAGGGAAGCTCTGTTAAGCTTGTAAAGTCTGACATTTTCATATAGATTTTTAGAGGCACTTAAAAACAACTTTGAAAATAAAAGAAATTAAATATTACATAGACGTTGTAGTACCAGCTGTTGTTACTTGCCCAGTATAAAGTTTGCTATGGACTCTCTTTGTCAGACCCTGTGCATTGTAGTCCTTGTGTACTTTCGTTGGGATGGTTATTTGTCGATGCAATTTCTTAATAAGCCCGGTGGCAGGAGGAAACTGCACAAATGAAAGGATTGTAAATATTGTATAGCCTTTAGCTAGTTGTGCTTAGTTTAAATAGGCCAAGCGTTCCTTTATTTTTCCTCACTTAGCTAGTCATTGATTTGCTCTTCCCTTTAAGCTAGTGCCCATTAGGTTTGCTTTAAAGCTCATGTGGAACAGCAACATCTAACGCAATGTCAAAACTTGTCCGCTCCTCTCATTAGTCCCTCACTTAGCCGCTCGAGTGTGTGTGTGTGTGTGTCCGTGTGGGGAGATTGGGAGCGGACAGGAGAGAGTGTGGCTGTAGTTTATCAGATGGTGCAGACACATTAGAGACCTGCATTATTGATGCTGTGGTCAATAGAGGTCTCCAGTGACCCACAGGAACTGGAGAGTGAAGGATGAGAGAGTGTGAGAGTGCTTCAGCCGGCAGTGAAGGCTCGAACAGAGAGGAGGGAGAGGCGGTTTTTATTGAGGCAACACAAACAGAAACTTTATTCTTAGGGGGGCACTTCTGTCGTTGCCATGGGGCATGTCGAATGATTGTAGAATATCTTAATTAATTTGAATAAAATGAAATTATAATTTGATTAAAAATAGACATGCATATCCACATATTTATTGTAAGGAGGAAAAGAAACACAGATGCGACTGCAAATTGCCATTGATCTTTAGTATCGGCTAAAATAACTGGAGACCACACAGTACAGTCAGCTGTAAGACTCAATGAAATTGCTGTAATCAGTCGCTTAAAGTGATAACTGTGTAATTGAAGTAGTTATGTAAATGTAATAAACAGTTGAAGGAACTACTTTGAAGTATGTTAGTATTGTGGGGTCCTAATTTCAATTTTTAGAATTGCGTGGACATTTTCTATTCTTTATTCTTTATTTGGATCCCCATTAGCTTCCACAAGATGTTTGCTAGTCCTCCTGGGGTCCATTCACAAAACAATATTAAAAATACACCAATTTAAAATCACAGAATATCAGCGAGACAACATAATTCAATATCAACCCAAAATTAAGACCAGAAAAGTTTTAAAAAAAATGAAAAATCTAAAATTGTCAGACTGACAGCACAGAGTAAAGAAAATAAAATTCACAGAAAAAAAATCCACAACTGCCATAACAAAATGTACAGAATCAGAGTTTTAGTGACTTCTTAAAGGAATATCTATTTTTAATCTGTCGGGCGCATGTTCCAAACTGAGACTATAAAGAACAGTTCTCATCATAAAGTTTGTTCTTGGACTTAGTGCCACCAGAAGACCAGTGCTTAGTTGACGTGTAACATACCCAAAACCACTATATACTAGTTTATCACCAACGAACCGAGGTGTGTTTTTCAGGATGATGGTATGCATAACTAACGTAAGACTAGATTTTAGTTCAGCCTCCATAGCAGCCAAGATAGTCGATAATGCATCTCACACACACTGGCACGGAAAGAACAATGAAGAACTAATCTGGCTGACCTGTTCTGTATAGAATATATGATGATATTAAAATTTTAACTGAGTTAATACTTTAATTAGTCAGGTAAATTTGTAACATAAATCCTATATCCCTATTGGAAAGTAAACAGTTAGAATAATTAGCTTAAAATAATGATTGATATATCAAAAAGTAATGAACGCTCGAAACCGTTGAAACAGATAAACAACTAAAAATAGTAAATAGTCGGAAACAAAAAGTTAAAGTCCCTCTCTGATCTTTGATTAAACCTTTGATTTGATTAACCTCTCCATTAAAAAAAATCCCCTCCTGCCTTAAAATGGCTTAGATTTAAGTATACTTGGTTGCTTTCTCTGGTAAGCGTAGATCTATTTAGTCTTTGCATCTTTCTCCACCCCAAGTTCTCCCATGACTCATCTCAAACACTGTAAAACTACTTTATGTGACACAGTGGCAAGTTGTTACATTGGAGTAATTCAGCCGTACGTGTTTAAGCAAAAAAGATTCTCAAGAACAATAATGATACAAAAAGTCCCACCCAGCAGGAAGTTGACAGGATCAGTTCTTTAGGTATGTTACTAACAAAACCTCGGAAGTCTGAATTTGTGTTTTTGAGACAGTCGTGAGTACGCTGCAGTTTCAAGGTTGAAATACTCAGCCATGGTGTTAGCTGCTTATTTTGCTCACGGTGTCTCTTCTAGCATGTAAAAACACAATATGACAAGGTTACCAGGTTAAAAACCTTGATTTTAATTCAATTCAATTCAATTCACTTCACTTCAATTCAATTCTATTCAATTCAATCCATTATCTATACACCGATTAATCCTCACTAGGGTCGCAGGGGGGCTGGAGCCTATCCCACCAGCTGACTTGGGGTGAAGGCAGGGGACACCCTGGACAGGTCACCAGTCTATCGCAGGGCTACACAGGCCAATTAACCTCAGCATGTTTTTGGACTGTGTGGCAGGAAGCCAGAGAACCTTGAGAGAACCCACGCTGCACGAGGAGAACAGGCAAACTCCTCGCATGCAAACGTCCCTCACCGGGACGCGAAGGCAGCGGTGCTAACCACTGAGCCACCTTGCAGCCCCAATTCAATTCAATTCAACTCAACTCCGTACAGTTTAATTCAAATAACTTTATTTTTCCCCTTCGGGGCAATTCAAATGCTCCCTGAGTATTTACTATAAAGACATCGTCAAAAAGAAAAAGAAAAATATTTTTTTTTAATTGGAGGTGTTGATAAACTAAAAATGAAATTATCTAAATGTATCCAGCTTCTGCCCCTACAAGTCGTAAGCAGGCCTAATATGCACTTGAATACGTTGAAATTTAAAGCTATTCTGAACAACTTATTTAAATCCCAGTGGATGGTGTTGATTAAAGTGTGCTGGAGCTCATGTGACGGGGCTGTGTGTGTATACCGGACAAAAACATACATGAGCGTCGACCATTATTTACCACATTTTAATGTCGTGTCCAGATTTTGTAATTGGCATTGCATCAGATGTCTGTGTATCGCTGTTACTTTGATCAGCTGCTGTTCAACTAGAATCTCCCTCTTCCTCTCCCTGTATTTCACTCTGTTTACCACTTCATCTCTGTTTATCTGCCTGCTTGTCACTGTCTGTCTGTATGCTTCGCACACAAACTCTCTCACATTGATGTTCCCTTGGTCTCTGCCTTTTTTTTTTTTTCCTCCCCATCTCAAACCCTCTGTGGTCCCATCTCTGTAGCTCCTGTCTTGCGCACCCAGGAAAGCTAAGTTTTGTCTTCAACGTGGTGGAGTTCCCAGCATGCACTGGGCGGCCTGCGGGGAGGCGAGGCTTGTGTACCGGTTGGCTGTTTGACCTCATCAATCCTAGCCTGGTTCTCCCTGGGAAGGCTGAATCCTCCAGCAGCCCGGCTCTGCCAAAGGTAATGAGTAGGCTGGAAAAAAGAAAAAAAAAAAGAAAAAGAAAACTGAGAGTAGAGTGTGCATATTCGTGCTCTTGGTCTTGGCTGATATATTTCTAAGTGCTCATATTTGTGAGTGCAAGTGTTCAGGCGCCGTACCAGTTGGAATCCAACACTTTTATGGAGGAAAAAAAAAAAAGATTCTGGCAAAGCTAATATCGTGCTACTCCTCCCCTGACTTTGTTTAGATTTTTCTGATAAAATTGCAAGGAAGTTAAACTGCCCATTTTCCTTCTCATATTACAGTTAAGGAGGTTCTCGAGGAAAAGAGAAGGCAACTGTGTCATAAAATAGTTCAGCGCCTGGTGTTGGGGATTCAGACAGGTTCTACTACATGTTTTATGCTTCTCTGGAACCTCATTTTTAACGTGTCAGACATTAAAATAAGAGCAAGCTTAGGGGCAGTTGTGTGTGTGTGTGTGTGTGGTGAATGGAAAAATGAAGTTACAGCTGGCAAATCCTCTGTACTACAGACTATGGATTCTAGTTGTGTGTTCTCATGTCTTAGAATATTAAGTAGATGCATTAATAGATTGGCAAACCCACAGTGGCTTATCAGCATTGTTGTAATTGCTGTCATTATTTTAAATGCTTTCTAATGTCCTCTGACTTCAGATCCATGTGAGTCTGCGACCCAACTGCACCTTTCGGCCTCCCTCTGACCCATCGGTGCCCTTCATAATGGTCGGACCAGGCACCGGGGTCGCTCCATTCGTCGGCTTTCTCCAGCAAAGGTGTGACCGTTTTAACAATACAATACAATATTATCCTGCAACACGAGTAACAATTATACAAAATAATATGTTTTAGGACCCCTCATTTTGCAAATTTCTCTCCGTCGAGAGGAATCGAGAGCATGTAATGATGCACTTGATCCTATGCCAGTGTTATGTGTTTCAAGATAAGCAGCTGAAGTAGGTCAGTGAAACGTTCATGTCAAGCATCGGGGTGTGTGCTGACTGGTGCCAAGTGTGACACAGATTATTCCGGAGAAAATTACGCACCCTGTAATGAATATTCACAATGCTGAAGTGATGTTAAGTGCACATCCTCTATGCATATTTTCAAGTCATCCGCAGAGACAATTAAATGAGACGCCGCTCAAATCCGATAAAAGTCCACGTCATGTACATCACGTAAGGCATAATAAAGCTCGCGGTGAGGGCCGCGATCACGTCAAGGATTATTTCCAACGCTTCCCTCATCTCAACAGGAATAAATTAGACCCTCTCCCGTGCGCACATTTATGACTTCTGTAATAAAGAGCCAGCAGTCAAAGCAGCACATGGGGCGTTATTGATTTAAAAATGAAAAGTCCAGTAGGTGGTGGTCGTGTTGTTGGAGTAAATCATTGCTTGTAATTGCCGAAGAGGTGGTGCGAGGATATTGACTGTTAGCTAAGTAGGTTGTGGGTCTCTCCAGCTAGTTAAACCATTGCTGTAAGCCACTGCTTGCAAAGTACTCTCAATTAGAAGAGAACGTGACATTCAGTTTAATTTTCTGAGATTCAGAATTGAAGGCTAAATCGAGATTGTAAGAAGATGACCTGTCAGAAGGATTTAATGTGACTGAAGCTTTTCTATCCAGGCTCAGGCCCGTGTGTTGAATCAGGCTCACAGCCACCATGACTTGTCAGAAAGCGGAGTAAGCCTTTTTAGTCAGACTGACACGTCTAACTCTTGGGTGGCTTTGTATAAATGAGGTTGTGCCCCAGTCAACTCCAATTGTCTCTAAATCCCCCGGATGTCTGCTCTGTTGTGGCGGGTGGCGTCCGTGGGTGATTGCTCTGAGAGGTGGCACAGCACCGGCTGAAGTGATGGCGGCGGCGGCGGACTGTCTGCAGCACAATCGGGGAAGGATGAGTGGTCATCCGGGGTTAGGCTTTATTTGTGCCTTTAGGATGGAGGAGCTCTGAAGATAGCACATGTTTTCAGACTGACCTGGTCACACCACTCGCAGTCAAACTCTTCTCCCTAATGATCAAGGTTCAGCCAGAGGGACAGAGTAATATGAACAGATATATCTCGCTTTCCTTCTAACAGCGAAACCCAAATATTGCTCTCGAAAATATAAGAAAAAAACACCAAACAAACACATTTAGGGGTTTTATTAAAGTAGAACAGCCAGATCTTGATTGATTTTTGCGGGCTTTATTACATAACACAACCGCGACACCTACATCAAATGCATCCTCGGAAGTTCAATGTCGGCTTGTTTTTCATTTTTTAAAATGTCTTTTATTAAATTTTTTTTCTTTTTATTTCGAGAAGCTCTCCACTGTTACAGCATAAACTCGTGCGAATCAATTCATCAGCACGACTGTCTCCTCAGTCCCCTCTCCCTCTTTGTGTTTCTCATCCTCTCCCCTGCTGGCCGCGTATTGTGCTGGAGGATTGTATAAACCTGTCATAGCGCGTAGCATTGTGCAGAATCTGACTTAAGATTCCAAACAAAGCCTTGCCGGCTGACTCTGCACTCTGATCGGAGATAACAATCACCAGTTTGTCAACGGGACGCCGTATCTTCCTCGAGGCCTGAGAAGGGTCCTGTTAGCAACAAAACAACACGGGGACACTTCGATCTTCCTACCTCTCCCCTCTTCCACTCCCACTGTTAATCGATGGCTGTTTTCAAAAGTACTTTGTACGAGTTTGTAGTACTGGTAACAAGTAGAAGAAGAGTCTCTTAAGGTCAGAGGCTCACTTGGTGGTACCAGGAGATTTTAATAAGGCCCTCCAGTAGTCTGGTATTGATTGCTGTGGTTTGCGTGGAGGGATTTATATGGAGAATGTAATTTTCAGTGTCTTTCTGTGTGGCTGGAAGCAGTGACGGTTAAACAAATATTGTATTTTAACTGAGTGGTTAGCCTTAATCTTCTTAGCAGCTCTAACAAGCTTTTCTTCTGGAAAAAAAAAAATCAGTTTGCTCAGTTTAATGCTTAGGTATGCCAGTGGGCATACTTGGCACATTCAATACGACAATTTGTATTAGTTTGTGTAAACAAATATTTAGCTTTGATTTATCAGTCTAACCAGACAGCTGACTACAATTAGTCAGTATCTATCTTCTGTATTATGAAGGCATTTGAAATTCAGCAGATTGAATGGACATGGGTATCATTCTGCAATGTAATTTCAGTGATTAAGCCTTGAGCTGTTGTTGTATTCAGATTTTTTTTTGTTGTTGTTCTCGCTGAAAGCCACTCAGCACGACTCGCATGGAGGTGCAAAGACGAAAATGAAAGATATGAGATAATTGTGATGTTTACCGAGTCTTAACCTCGGCTTCCCATGCAGTTTCCCACTCCTGCTGATCATCTGAATGCCGCTGAAAGGCAGCCGCCTCTGATTTCGACCCCAAATGGAGTGCTCTGTAGATGCTGCCTCCCCCCTGGGATTGTATTGCATGCTGCTATAGTGTGGGTTTGTGATGTGATTTGTATTCAGGGAAAGGCGCCAGTGTGGTCTACTCAGAATGGAATCCAGGTTTTTCATATTGGTATTGATCCCTTTAGGGCAAGCGGCGAGAGGAGAGAGACGAGCCCACTAAAATGAGTTTACTTGAGGCTGTTTGCAGATCAGAAGAATCTCGTCCAGGATGCTAATGGATGGGATCTGAGCGTTCAGATCAAGTCAGTCAGACAGCTCTGTTACCAGGCCTCATTCACAGACATAAAGTTCAAACAAACTTCTTTTCTAAAGCGATTTTATGAACAGGTGAACTTTGCATGAAATTAATGAGAACAGCACTTTGTTTTAGTATTCGCAAACACACTTTTGTATTGATTTGGTTTTTCCCTAAGGCTAATTAGTGTTGAGCCTCAACTAGCAATTGATGAGTTTGTTCATTATTTTAAAAAATGTAATAAATCTTTTAATCCTTTAGTCAGAAAAGGGCATTTATCAGATTGTCAGAAAATAGGAAAAAAATGTCCAGAATCCAAGGTGACATCTTCGCATTGATTGTTTGGTCCAAGCAAAAAATCCAAAATCTGAAGGTTACACTGAAAAAAAACAGAAAACAGCAACAGCTCCTCACATTTGAGAAGCTGAAACCTGTAGTTGTTTCAAATATTTGTTGGACAAACAACTTAAACCAGTGGTTTGCAGGTTCATGCCCCCGATTAATTCTTAAACCAATTAAAAGTTTTATCAACCAGTAGCAACATTTTGAGGATCTAAGTAAGGCTAATAATAATAATAATAGTAGTAGAAGTAGTCGTAGTAATAATGAGATTTTTGTTTTGCACTTACAATATTTGTTTTCCACTTTACATACAATACAGTTCATATTGCTTTACAATAACAAAAATTACATACATTAGGTATTTAAGAGATAGAATGAACATAAAAATGTCAATAAAATATTCTAACACTGGGTTGAAAATATCACCCAGCTCAGGTAAAAATAAATCAAAATTTAGAATTGGATGTATAACATAAGATGTACGATAAAACTTGCTGAATATAAAATGTAATAAATGCATAAAATCAACTCAGCATTTCAAAAAGAAATGCAGCAGTGCGTAAGTGCAAAGCAGAGTGCGACAAAGAATTTCAGGAACGTCATTACTAGGTGAAGGCTAAAGTAAAGAGATAAGTTTTTAGCTTTCTTTGAAAAATGTTAAGCGATCTGCCATCCCTGATATGTATTTGTAGTGTGCTCCATTGCTTTGGGGCATAGTTGAGTTCATTCATGGCTTTAAGCTGTTGCTGGAAAGTTGTGATTAAACTAGCAGCTGATGATCGCCTTGTTTCTGAATGGACATACTGGAGTTAACAAGGGAGTTAGCAACGAGCCCATTATGAGCTTTGTGTTTAAGGTCTGCTGATACATTTGTTCTGAGACTGACACATTTGCTTTTGTTTGATGGACATCACTGGTTTCATGTTGTCTTTCTTGTCTCAGATTTTTCCACCTTGTTGATGTAAATAATGCTGTCTGAACACAGTGCTGGTTACCTAAATCTTAATAACTGTATTGCAGCAAAGCAGTCTTGTTTATTTATTGCTCCCACACAAAAGGCATCCATTCAAGTGTAACTCCACTCGATGTTTTTGCCCCTCCTAGATTTCCTGTGTCCTCTGAGGGAGCCAACCTGCAGTTTCAAAACTGCTGACAAAGTCCCCCTCCTTTTAAAAAATGTGTTTTTCTTATTGTTCCTTCAGTTAGATGTCTGAGCTTCATATGTGCAGAATTTGATGCTAGAAGGCTGTTCTCACATTCATCTTCTGAAAGAATGAGCTTTCTCTGTGCTCGCCTTATTTGATGACTGGAAGCTTGTTGTAGTCCAGCAGGAGAAAAGTGGTGAAACTTGCAGCCTCGTACGCTGACAGCGAACCTGCTGTTAAGTAGCAGCCATCTTTTGTGCAGTGGTTGAACATTTGAAATATAAATTAATCACATATATAGTGAGAGTAATTTAACTTCTTTGTGAAATCTATTTTTCTTGTTTCAAAACACGCCTGGAGGGGGTCCGTCTTTGGTAATTAATTTTCCCTCACTCAGACTATTCAGTTAATCAACAAATTACTTCAGGACCAAATTAGTGTGTTAACGGCTAATTTTTAAGCACTATATGACTCCATTAATCTCAGGAGTTGGCTGCCATTTTAATTTTGTGATAGCTGGAAAACACAGCAGGATCTGAGGCGAACGGTAACGGATGGGGTTTAGAAGCGGCAGCACCTTATCCTCAGAGTGCAGCAGTATGGCACAAAGGGCCCACTCTCAGTGCTTCTCTGTGGTATTTCTCAGCCCCTCGTCGTGGTTGGTCACTTCAACCCCCTCCCCCCCCAACGACATGGGCAACAGATAATGTCGGCCTCTTTAGACAGTCAACTGACTGATGGCATCATGAAAGGTTGGGGGTCAACTGTTGTTATCTGGGAAAGAGCTGTCACCTTTGCAGCAGGTGTCTGGCACAGATAACAGCATCCTCAGAGCCGCTTTGTGCCACTGCGTTGCAGTTGCCTGCAAAGGATTCTGGGAGGTTTGCCAAACTCCAAAGCCACAAGAGAAATCACTTTTTCAGGAGCAGTTTTTTTTTTTTTTTTTTTTTGCACTGAATAACAGTTGGACACACATAAGCATATGAGTAACACACACACACTGAGCCCTAGTTTCATTTTCAGCTCCTGTTTATAGTGATTGGATCTATCCTTCTGTTTGGGTGAAATTTAATAATACATACAATGTCCTTACTTCTGCATGCACGGTCGTTTCCGTGCATTAGGCAATTGTGGCACTCAGTGTACCGTCGGTGCAGACAGTGCTTAATAGTGTCACTTCTCTTCTTTAACCTCTGCTGCGAGGAAGGACTCACTCTCCTCCATCTGGTCTGGTTGTCGGTTTGTATTGATTGACTGCTAACATCCGCTGTTTGACTTTCAGAGCGGAGGAGAGACAAAGGAAGCCTGAGGCCGTATTTGGCGAGACCTGGCTGTTCTTTGGTTGTCGCCACAGAGACAGAGACTACCTGTTCAGGTAAGCTGTGTTTCTCCTTTCAGTTCAGTGGTTGTTCAGACATTAGCAGCAGACACGCAAGTTGCAAGGTGTGGTCTCCGTGGATTGGATTAGTTTTTTCGGCGCATCCCTAAGGTGCTTGATCGGATTGAAATGTGGCGAATTTCGAGGCCAAGTCAACACCTCGAGCTCATCGTTATCCTCAAACCAATCCCAACCAGTTTTTGCAGTGTGATAGGGAGAATTATCCTACTGGAAGAAGCCACTGCCATCAGGGAATAACATTGCCATGAGGAGATGTACATGGGCTGTAACAATATTTAGGTGTATATGAATCCCAGTACCCAAATATTCCCAGCAGAACATTCCCCAGAGCATCTTGATGCCATCAAAAAAAAAAAAAGAAGTGATCCGGGATTCTTTCTTCCATTGCTTCATGATCATAGCTCTGACACTCATGTGCCTATTGTACACACTCATGGTGGTAAACAGTGGTTAGCATGGCCACTCTACTACACTTATCTACACACCTCCATACACATATGTGTTCTGATACCTTTCTATCATCGGCAGTATTAAAGCTTCCAATAATCTGTGCTGCAGTAGCTCTTCTGTGTCACTGGGCCACACATGCTGGCCTTTATTAACATGCGATCGACACTGAGGTTTGGCTCCCTATGACTCTGTCATTAGGTTGTCCTTCCTTTCTTGGGCGACTCTAACGAGATAGTCAATGTTATTCACTTCAGCCGTATTGGTTTTAATCTTGTGGCTGGTTGCTGGAAACTACTCTATACATACTTTGCTTAACCTTTTGTGAGTAAGATATGCAGCTCTTCATACCCACATCCCACTTCACCTTGCCACTGCAATTTCCATGGATTGAAATCTGTGACCAGCATAATGAACGTTGCAGATGTGGGTGTTCTCTTTCAATACTATACATAAGCACCGTGGACATTGTATATTAAGCACTCAGCTCAAGGATATGTTGTAAGATGTATGGGAAGAACATGGACATGCGAAGCTGTTTAAGCCAAGGGCACTTCCTCTGCTCCTGTGAGTAATATTAGACAAGAATGGCAGCATCTTGTGGTGGCATATGATTGTGACTCAAGGCAGGATGTTGCATAAAGGTTCTGTGACTTTTTATTATGGTTGGGGTTCAGTAGCCATCAGTATCATACCAGGTTGGTAAAATATCAAACTTGGTTAAGCTCAGAAGCTAATAAATGTTTTAGCTTTTGTTCATTTACCAAGAGTAAGTTTAGAATCAGAATCAAAAAGACTATTGATCCTCAAGGGGAAATTGCTAACATTGTAGGTAACATTGAAGCTGCGCTAACAGATATTTCAATATAAACAATGAATCTAATGGCTGTGTAATGTTGTTTAAAAAGATGAACTCAGCAGGATCATCACCAAAGTCTTCACTTCTCCTCAGCTCTGAGGAGCAAGTCATTGTTTTGGTTTACAGACCCCATCGTCATTGCTTTGGTTCACTCTCTCATCAACTTGTTCCAGCAGGAACATGAAAAACTTTGTTAAGCCCATTGTACACTTCCTGCCCAGCGCCAGAAAGCACACAGATAAAGTTACAGCAAGCTGTTGATGGAGCTTTTAGCAGCTAAAGTGCGAAATATTTTCCACGGTTGCTGACAGAGACCAAACAGAGCTAAAAGTAGAGACAATATGGGACTTTAATTTGTCAGCTGGACAGAAGCATGGCTCCAGATGAATACAAATTTTTCACCATGTCTGCTAAAAGTGTAACAAAGCAATTGTTCTCTAATACAACACAACTTTAAATGTCAACTGTGGCCACAGCTTGTACTGCTGTTGTTAAAAGCCAAACCTAAATAGAGTCAAGACTTGCTAATGGGTTAAGATTCACTGAAGCTCTATTGAATTACTACCCTGCTGTTTATTAACACAAGATTTAAGGGTTTAGTTCTCAGCACTGGCACAAGTTTGTATTCTAGCCTGGATCCAAGTAGAGGAGCTGTTTTCTTGTGACTATATGTCCAGAAGAAGTTTACATAATGAGCATCCAAATTAATGTCGACCTGTGATATAATTTCCATTATAATTTGTTCACAATCATTCTTTTTATATCAAATTTCCATCCATCTGTACAAAGTATCAGGGGTCTGTTTTTCACTATGTTAACTGACATCAGCCTTTGAGGAGATCGCTGCTCTGATTAGTTTGTTTTGGCTTTACTCTCTTCAGACTACATGCTAATTGATCAGCTCTTGCTAGTATCAGCAGCGAGCGTGTGCTCAACGCCGGTGCACTGATCGAGTTCTTTTGCAGGATTAAATAGTGCGAATGGATTAGCATCCTTAATCACACAAGAACAGATCACAGAGGATGTTGTTTGTTCCCCTTTGTTTCCTCTATCCCTTATTTAAATACTAACTCACAGCCAGGTAGTAGGAAGTGTTTGTTCACAGTGTGGGCCTCTCTGATGAATACCCCCACAGTGTTGACCAAAATGATTAGTCTGTATTTTATGAGCCACCCATGAAGAGTTGCACTCAATTTAAATAGGTTAGCAGAATGAGAACAACATACCTGCAGTAGAATTGGCTGCCTGCATTCGTCTCTGTTGGATTTCTCTTAAAGGAAGTGCAATTCCATGTGTAGCATTGCCTTGGCATGCAGAAACCTGCTTAGCACACTTTGTTGTATTTTTCGATGTCCCAGATATTTACAGGAAAGTTGAGCCGAAGTCGTAAGTAGGGGATGAAATATGAACTTGCATAAATATAGCATAAACTGCTTTTTATACTTATAAATATTACAAAATGTCAAGGCAGGATGTGACCAAGTCTCCGATCGTGATCTGAATGCCAAAAAAAACAAACAAGGCTCGCGATGTGCCTCAATCAGCCGCAGCACTTAACATCCCCGTGAGAGATTGATGCCAGTCTGCCTGCTTGTCACATCAAACTTGTCCTCCTCTCTCCCCTCTGCTTCACTTCTCCTCCCCCCCTCGCTTTGATTTTTCGGCCTCTTTATGGCATGTGATTCCACACCGTAGGGAAAACATGACTGGAAGGCCTGCTGGGTTCATGTTAGGGTGCGGGATATTGCTACAGGCTGTTGTGTGCATAAACACACCAAGGAGTCTGGCAGGTTTTTGGCTCTCGTAAACCCCTGTCTGCTGTGTGTTTCTAAGAAGTCAACTGTCCTTTGTCATCCGCCAGTTTCCGCTCGCACGGTTATCAATCTATCAAGATTTATTTTCAGACGTCAAACAAACAACGCTCTGCGATCCTTCTTGTTGTTATTCATGTTGCTGCGCTTGTGCCCACACAGACATTTTAATCACACATCTTGGTCAAAAAGAATGAGATGTCTTTTAATGACTGTCTTCAATCAAATATTAGGTTGTAAACATTGCAGGAGCAGCAAAACATTCTGGACATTTCAAATAGAACAAAGAAGACGGTTTCTTTCTCGGTTTAGTATTCACACTGCATTGTCTACGTGTTATCAAAAAATGCGTTATTTTGGTCCAGAGGTTACAGCAAAACACAGACCCCTGAGGCGAAGACCTTCACCTATGATCTCAGAGCCACGGCTTGTTATGAGCGTGCGCGTTTGTTTCTTTCCGCGTGTGTTCCTGCTCATTCCGACTGCTTAACTTTAAACAAGATTCTCTGAGCCACAGTAAACCTTATTCCCTCACCTCCTTCTTCCTTCCTTCCCTTCCAATAGCACCCCAGGCCCTGTAAAAACACTGAGGCAGAAGAAGGAGTAGTTGGCAAGCAAAACACCCATAGGGAGCAAGGTTACACCTAACTGCAAGGCAGGGAGGATTGATTGTAAAAAGATGCTTATAACAGTGACTCGACCTTGCTTATGAAATCTATATTTTTTTTGCAGTTCTCTTGTTAAACAAGATAAATTGGTTGTCTGGCACAGTTTCACTCAGACCTTTTGCCCATCAGTGTTCTGTTTTATCGAGCCTGACAGGTTTTTTTGTTGTAGGAAATGTTTGGGGGGGGTTACATGTCTTGCAAGGTGGTTACTAAATATCTGAAGGGAGTGTTGAATGTTAAAGGATAAACAGTTGGTATGAAAACTATGTTAAATACTTGGTATTATTATTATTGCAGCAGCTTCATTTATTTTTTTGCTTGCAATAAAAATCTGCTTTCCCCCCATAAAACCATTACCAAGTGCCATCTCACAAAGTTGGTCTCTCATTCACAGACTTGAGGTCATCGGTAAATGAAGCTCAGGTCTCCCGACTCTACCTCTGGAAAGACTCATTACCACAAATTAGGAACAACCTAACAATATCCCATGAATAACCCCAATAACCCCTATGTGCAATTTTCCTTTTCCCAGAGAGGAACTCGAGGGTTTCGTGTCCAGCGGTACTCTCAGCCACCTGAAGGTGTGTTTCTCCAGAGACGACAGGGGAGACGAGGAGTCCGCAGCCCCACAACCCAGATACGTCCAACACAATCTGCTGCTTAATAGCCAACACGTCACTGAAATCCTGCTCAGACAGAACGGTTACCTCTATGTCTGCGGGTAAGACTGACACTGATTTTGTTTTAACCTTAATTCATCCTGAGTGCTCGCTTCTACTTTGTTTTACATTTATCTAAGTGTCCACCTGGCATGGCTGTGTCATGTTCCGGCTGCACTTATAGTTCAATGCCTCCGCTGTGAGTGTTGAAAGGACTGCAGAGCATCTCACTCGCAGCTCTTTTCTACACTCTGGCAATCTTAATATATATTGCCTACTTTTGTTAGTTCACCTTGTCTTGTAAATCAGTGTAGATTCCTTTCTTTGTTCACATCCGACAGAAATCTAGTATTTGATCATACATTAGCCTGAGAGTCTGTTGAAATATATCATCTTTTTTACAAGAGAGACAAAAAAATGGCCATGCACTGAAGTTAACACAGTTGGAAAAAAAAAAAAAAACATTTACATGCAGCTTATACAGTACTAACAAAGGATCTAAGAGAAATCAAGGAAAACGCTCGAGCGTTCATTCATGAAATGTGTTCTGAATGTAGGTTTGAATGCCTGACATAAAGACACTCTTTTCAGATAAAGTTATCCCTGCTGGGTCTTTCCTTATCAAAAGTAGTTCTCTTATTATATAACATTTTGCCTTTCCCTAATTTCCCTAATATCTTATCTTGTTATTTTTTTACTATATTGTTAAAACCTGATAGACTTTCACTTGAGCAAAAATGTATTTGAATGTAAATCCCAGCATCACGGCAGGTGATACAAACTTTTATCTCAGCTTGATGTTCTGCTTAATACTTAAGCCGTTATATCTGTTACATATCACATAAACCTGTATTGATCCAAACTTCCACAGGCTTCTCTGCATCTTATAAGTTCCCTGTTGTCCAAAAACATTGTGCTCCTGCAACAGTTTAACTGTATTTTATCATATTAAAGCAGAATAATAGGAATCGAACCTTAATCTGTGCATTATTCACTATTCAACATGTGACCATTGTATGAACTTAAACTACTTGAATGCGATTACTAATTTCGGCTGTTACGAAAATGATTATCAGGTAAATGTAGACTATGCACAGCATTTGTGTTTGGCCCGTATGCCCTGACCTGTTGCTGACCTGAACTAACTTGCAGCCTTTGCGTCATTTTTGTGAAATTCAGAACAGACTCTTAAGTCACAGGAGATGATCCAGCTTTATCTTGTGTGATCAGTGTTTGAAACAGGATAATGCATTTTAAAGTGGTAGACAATAAGATTACAAAGAATGGCTTGCCATGAACCTCCCTCTTTCATCCACGGAACATACAGTACTGCAGAAGTTTCAGGCACGAAAAAGTAGTCAAATTTATTTAAAAGCACATTTAACACAATGAGAGATGAACCAAAGTTCTCTACAAATGAAATAGCAGACCATAAAACACCATCATTCAAAAGAGAAATCTGAATAAATAGACAATAAAATAGTCAAAATGAAAGATAGAACACAATAAGGGATCAAGTCAGGGGGAAAAGGCTCTGTTTGATTTGAATGCCAAAGAAAGGAGTTAGGTCTTGAGCAAAAATGTTACACTTTGTGAAGTCTGAGTTGTTCTCGGAAAGGTAAACAGTTTCAGAAATTAGGAGCAGCCATTGTGAAGGCTCGATAACCTCTATTATTGTGCCTTGGCGTCGAGAAGCATCTGGTTGGTCAACCTCAGTTCTCTAACTGGGGTAACAGTTCTGTTAAATATGCATTAAAAACATTTAGAACAAACAATAAAATCTAATAATCAATCCTGAAATAGACACGAACTCAGGGAAGGGGAGCCAGTACTGGTGTTAGGTGATCATGCTGTTCTTTCCTGTTGAAGGACAAGCAGCCACATTTTATACCAGCTGCAGACTCTGAAGGGATGACTGCTCTACACCCACATAACAAGAATTATAGTAGTCTAACTGTATAGTAACAAAAGTACAAGTATGTTTTTCAGAATCTTCGGGGACAGAGATAGGCCTTCACCTTGGCAAAAGTCCTGACAGAAAAAGCTAATTTTGACCACTGAGCTGATCTGTCAATTAAATCTGAAGGAACTGTCGAAGATCACTTCAAGGTTTTACAAAGATCAGTTGTACGAAGCCAATGGGCCCCTAGTGCTGTTAGGGTCATCCAAAAATTACGGTTAACCAAACATAACAATCTAAATCTTGTTTTCATTAAGATTACAAATGTTTAAATCCATCCATTTTAAATAGTCCAGCATTTCTTCACTGAGTCCTTACATTTTATTTTTACAAGCAGATAGAATTGTATGCCATCTGCAAAACAATAAAAAGGAATCTCATGTTTCTTAAATGTGGACCACATGGGCTGCATATACAATGAAAATAGAATTGGGCCATAAATGGAGCCTTGCGGGATCCCGCAAGCAGGGATGCAAATATAGAATGCTTGATTTCCGGACACTGTTCAAGAAGTGATACAGAGATTCTGTGTTCAATACAACAATCAAATCAAGAAGTATCATAATATAATATGAGAGTTTCCCAAATCAACAGTAAATAGGAATATTATTAAAACCTCGTGGCAAGGTTTAAACCGGTCTGAAACTTTTCGTACATGCCATGATTATCTACAAAAGTTAACAGTTGAATAAAAACTACTTTATCCAAAACTTTGGACAAAACATGAAACATAAGGGTCCAGATTCTGTGATTATACCTCAGCATGGTGATGATGGTGGTGAGATCAGGGCTCTGTGGGGGCCAGACTATCAGCTCTGAAACTCCTTGTTCCTCTTGTTGTGTGGAAATAATGCTTTATGACCCTGACTGTATGTTTGGGCTCATTGTCATGGGCTACCTGATGTTTCAAATAAAGTTCGCTACAGGAATATACAATAGTTTCGGTGATAAATGTGTATGACATGAATATATAATTTCATTTCCTTCTGGCATTGATGCTAAAGTGGCTTTCTTACAAGGACAATATCACGGTTTGTTAAAAATCTGAACACAATCACAGCGGCCTTTCTTCGTACATCACTTCTCTGATTCCTTTGGCTACTGTCGCTTTACTTCACCGTGATGCAATAATGTATTCTGGTTATATCATTCCCCTTTCCCCTGTTTTCATATCACAACACATTGTTGCTGACAGTACAAAGACAAAAGCAAAACGCACACAGGCACATAGCATACCAAATCATGTCAGGATTGTATAGGTACGTATCACATTCTTTTTCGAGTGTTTCTCACTGCCAGGCTGCTTTCCTCACCTGAAAGTAAATGACTTTTGAAACATCAGAACTGTGCGAATTCTTCAGAGTCAGAAAATATCACTGTTGGATGATGAATCTCCCCTAGTATGCTGCAACAGCAAGATAGAGATTTCAGCCATTTCCTTCCAGGATACACTCCAGGACTGGCAGCGTTTGCTGGCTTTATAAAATATTGGCTTGCCACACTGTGTAGACATACATAGAATTGTTAAAAAAAGACTGTCTATTGATTATATTGCAATTTTTTCTAACATATAGTTGTAATTTTCTTCTCCAGGGACGCAAAGAACATGGCTAAAGACGTGAACGAGACCCTGATTGAGATGATTAAAACGGAGCTTCAGGTGGACCAACTGGACGCCATGAAGAGACTGGCAGGGCTTAGAGAGGAGAAGCGCTACTTACAGGACATCTGGGGCTGACGGTGGATGACGAGATAAGGGCATTTTGCAACATCCGCTGGCCTTTCTTACGTCTCCCCCCCAAAAAAATAAAAAATCAGCATGCTCAGCTGTAACCTCTAGAACCATAAAATTGTGGATGCTGAAGCCTGAAGGTAGTTTACAGCACCCAACGCTACCAAGATGGAATGTACCTCTCTGACCCGGGGATATCGGTTCACTACATCATCTTTGGCTCTGCTGTTTGAACAGAAATGACCTTGGTCAGGGCAGTAGTGCTGGAGATTGGTCCTGCAGTGTGAAAATGCTTTTAGTATAGACAAGCCTTCTCTATTTGTCCTTTCTCTGGGAAAGGCATTTACTTCCATCGGCTGTGATGGAGTGATTTTGATGAGACAGAGCGTGGGATATCGCTCCAACCTAGATGGAAACAACACAGTGCAATCTGTAGTTCTTAAACGACACACATGCAGGAAATTGTTTATTTTCATTCAACGGAAAAAAGAAATCATCTTTTTTTTCACAAGTTATGCGTTTTTATAATATGCCAAACCCCCACTGCCTACTAAATGCACCGCAGTTTGCCTCTGAAGTCATAATCAGTCAGAATTTTCCCATTATTTTCTGTAATTAACGTTTTGGAAATGTATCTCAGTTCCAAAAATGACTGATATCATCATGATTCTTAGCAAAATATTGCAGCTTTAGTTTTCTTTTTTATCACATTTTTTACATAATGACAGCAGGTTTTAATGTATTTGACAATAATTTAGATCTGTGGCGATGGAGTCAACATTCGGTAGTTTATCATGACAGTGTGCTAATGGTCAAGCACAGAAGGCGAGAATCTCAGTGATAACACGCAGCCTTGACCAGGGCAACTGATCTAACTGACTTGGTTTCTGTCTGCGTCCACAGACCCAGCAGACTGCCACTTTAGAGACAATGAACTCCCAACTTTCTCTAAGTCCTGCAAAACCAAGTAAAATCTCTCGACACACAAGCATCTGTGCTTTGTGTGATCAGGAATTAAAAGACGTTTCACAGTAAACTATTGTTGTCCAGTGTTTTCCTTCGCTGTGCACACACAGGTGTGTTTGCAGATGACCTTAGACGCATGTGTTTGAAGTGTGTGAACGAAAGGGAGGGGTGACTGGAAGCCTTCTTGGCATGTTTAGGAGGCAGTGGGAATTATTTAGGAGCTAATGAACTCTGATTGATTGGGAGTGATTGTTTTATTTAAATTTAGAGATAATTTGATTGTTCAAGGTGACTTTGGTCAGAATATGAAGATGTTAATTGAAGTCTTTTCGCAACGGGCTTCTTAACGCTGCACAGAGCCCCAGAGAGAGGCTTCTCAGAATTAAATCTTCTAACAGCAGTCTTTTTATTTATCCTCTTGTAGGGAGGAGAGAGAAAAACATGTTTACAATCTCTGCCGCCTGAGCCGTAGATGACACCGCATTCGCAACGTTTTTGAGCCGAGTAAACAAAACATTTACTGTCGCGGAAAACAATCCCTGATAATGAATAATTGGTTTAATACAGTGTTGTTGAAAGGTAGAGCTGTCCTTGTGTTTGTCCAGGCGCAGCTGGCTGCACCTCCTCACCCTCATCTCTCAGTGTCCTGCTGCTTCGCCAAGTCACAGGAACAGAGGAGGACAAAATCAAAATAATGATGCCGTGTTCGCATAACAGCATCACCAATCTCATCTCAACACTCACTTGCGCGCATGATACATGGCCTCCATTTGAGGCAAGACTCCAATTTTTTATCTGAGAAGTGGCCAAAACTTGTGTACAAACTGTAAGAAGAAAGAAAGTTCAATCAAAGTGACACAACCGTGATCATTATTAGTGATTAAGTTTAGAAGCATGAAGTACACTTTGAGTGCTGCCCTTATTTACCTACCTCATTAATATGCCCTCGTCTCTGTTTAAAAACTACCCTAGTGTGGATTGAGAGTGCGCCGGCTGCTTGTGTCACCCTGTCCGGCGACCACCCAGGACTGATGAAGTTTTAAATTACGTCTTCATAATTAAAAAGGTTCACCGGGGCAGATTTGTCCTGCAGCGAGAGTGAAAGACAGAGCTGAGAAGATGGTCAAGAATAAATCAGAGCACTTGGAGGTCAGCGCGACCGCAGAACAGTAGCACCTCCATGATAGATGCCCCTTGTTAAGAATGGCTTAAATGAAGCAGAAAGATGTGTGCTGAAGATAATGACTGTTATTATGGAAGTGTTGAGTGTGCCAAGTAGGGAAATGCACTTTATGTCAATGAGCTCAGAGATTTTGAAAGAAGGAAAAAAAAAAAAAAAACTGCTTAACATTTGGCTCCGTGGTGCAGAAAGTACAAGTAGTGTTGATGAGGAGAGTAACTGGAACCTCCCCCACTCTTCCCTCCTTGAGCGCTGCGAGGATGGTGCCTTAATTAGGCAAGTGACAGTATGTCCAATTCATTTGGCTTAGGTCTGTGAATAATGTGACTGCAGTTGAAACAACAGCGGTAATTTTAGGAGTAAACAGCAAGTGGAAAGTGTTGTCCCTTATGACAAAACTTTGGAGGATTCAGTTTTGCATAGGTACCTGTGTGTGTGTGTGTGTGTGCTGAGGAATGGGAATAAGGGAGGCAGTTTTTTTTTTTCTTAGTTCAAATGAAAGTTGCCAGGAATAGCTCAGAAACCTGAGCATCTTTATCAGGTTTCCAGCAAAGGATGACAACTTTATTTATCCATATTTCCTGTCGTGGATTCCTGACTGTGTAATTTCTAGTGGACAGCTGAAGGTTTGATTTAGTTTCAAGGCTGTGGAGAATTCTTCCCGTCTTTCCGCATTAGCGCAGGCGGAAGTTCCTCCAAACTGCACTTCAGCTGTGTTGTATCATTAAAAAGAGACACTTCCACTTTGTCTCAGCAGTTGTCAGTCTGCCTTCAATGACCCAAGAATGTCAACGTCAGCTCTTTGATGTGGCATCGACGACAGCCCTGCAAGCAGCACACAGATGCACACTGAGAGCCGCAGTCAGTCTGCTCTCCAGTGTCCCAGCTGTGCACAAACACTTTAACTTCAGCATCTGTCAGGAGAGCTGGAGGAAAATCTATGTTTTTCTAAAAAGGCTGCAGCGCTCGTATTGAGTTCCCCGTTTTCATTGTGAGATACCCGTGTTGTTCTGGTCTCTGTTTATTGATGGAACCAGAGAGATACCCCGGCTTCCGATTCGCCAGAACAAACATTTGCTGTAATTGATGCTGGCAGGAAGAGAAAGTATTCAATAAGAAAGAATTGTTCTCCCTGTGGGTTAAAAAATATTTCTATATTGGATTCAACTGACCAAGGAGGCCATGTGGTTTCTGCCAGATTAACATTTAAATTTAGGATATTTGACACTTTCTTATGACATGTAGAGGAAAGATTTCCCACACCAGTCAGGTATTGTATGTCCAGAGGAAGGAAGCAGAAACTACTTAGTGTTTACTTTGAGTAAACTTATTTTAAACAGGTGACACATCATAAGTGAGAGAATAAAACACTAATAACCAATGAAATTAACAAAGTTTAGTACAAAGAACAGTATGTACTTAGCCGATGCCACAGAAGTGAGTGTAACCCTTTGTAATATCACTTAAATGTCAAATGAGTCATATTTGCATCTCCTCTTAATAGCTGCATTATTTCTTAATGTGATACTTGGATACTGATTCTGATGCGAGAAGGATCATATTAATAATATAAACCCAAAATAGACCCTTAGTGCAACAAAAGCTAATACAGCTGTGATGACTAAAACACAGGTAAAAAAAAATCTATGTTCCCTGAACCTCGCTAGGAAGACCAAAACTTTCTTAGTTTTGGACCTATTGGTTGTGTCTGCATCATGGCTCCACATGGAAAAATCTGATTGTGACTTTACAAGGATGGAGACCAACCGAAAGTAACCGAAAACCCAGTTAAAGCAGCAAAAAGAAGGTGCAGAACAAGCCATAGTACCACGAATCAGAGCTGCAGTGACTGTCTTTCTAAAATGGTGCCACAGACAGTGAAGGTATCCAAGGAAGAATATCTTGCTTGCACTTCAGCACAGAATTGCTATAGAACATGAAAAGAAGTCTAATTAACTTTTTTTTTTTCATTCGTTGGTCAGATGATGGTGAGGTAGCTGCTAAAGACCATGACTGCCACAGTGAATGCATACTCCTGACAGTGAAACACAGAGGTGGGAGTTCAAACAATATTGTGAAGAGGACATTTATAGATGGCACCATAAGTGCCTGTGGATATATACCAAAAAACACTGGCTGACAAGATGACTCCCAGTCTGCAGAAACTTGGCAGAAGTGGGATATATCAGCATGGTAACAATCCACAGCAAACTGCCAAAATCACACAAAAGTTTTTATAGAAGTGAGAAAAAAAAAAAAAAAAAAGTGGAAAAAAATATGACCTGACCAAGTTTATCATCTGACTTGAATCCAATAGAACACAGTTGGAGTGTTTTAAAGAGAAAGGCAGAGCAACAAAACCCCGCCAGCAAAGAGCAGCTGAAAAAAAATCTGTCTCTGAACAATAGCATCTCTCCAGAAATTTGATATCAAGGGGGGATTGAGTTTCTACTATGGGTTCTGTATTTTTAATGAAGTAAATCTAAACTGTTACTTTTTAGTAGTGGATTTAGTAGTGATGCAAATATGACAAGGTGTTACAACTTTGAATCAGTTGATATTTATGTGACAGTGCGCATATATATAAATATACCCCCCTTCTGTCATCAAATAAAACTCATATGATTACCTTATGCCCTGCGATAGACTGGTGACCTGTCCAGGGTGTCCCCTGCCTTCGCCCTAAGTCAGCTGGGATAGGCTCCAGCCCCCCGCGACCCTAGTGAGGATTAAGCGGTGTATAGATAATGGATGGATGGATGGATGATTACCTTATCCTGTTTATCCTATGTATGCATACATTAGCAATGTGCAGGTGCCAATCCAACAAGAGCAACAACAACAAGCGTCTTACATCTAAGTATCATCATCATACCCCTTCGTCATCTTCATTTCTGTCGAAGAACATCTATATTTCTGTACCATTTCTTTCTGAACTGATTTCTGTTTTTACTTTAGTTCAATAACTCAAAGCCATTCTGCAAATTCCCCCCACAAATAGAAACTCACATTCGCTTCAGAGTTGTATAAAAAACATGTTTGTTTCAATTTTCCTTTTAAGTTACAGTAACGCCCCCTCTCTGTCTAAAAATGTATTTTGTATGTTGTTAGGAGGTAAATTAGTTCGTGCTTTTTTACACTGTGTGTCTTACACTCCACCACATTGATGAATTGTGAAACACATGTCCTTAAAAGCCAAATGTCAGCACGTGCTCAAAATCCTACATTGTTTGCTGTCCTCAAGGCTCTTTTTTTTTGTCGCGTACATAATGGCTGCAAGGTGCTAAGGTATTCTAAGGTTGTAAGGTGTTTCCGCGATGGATGTGCTTTCTGTCTCCATTAGTCAAAGTAATGCAAAAATTGGTTGGGCATTTTTAAACTTACAACGATGGATGAATTTATGGCCCCCTCAGTCCTGACAGCCATAATGACTTATGCAAATTGGAGGTTAAGTGCTGAGATGAGGCTGTTCAGCAAAAAAACAGAGATGCATGTACAGCCAAGGATGGATGGACGAGGAAGAAAAGCTGAATGGAAAGATAAACTGTTCGCCTTGGATGTTTGCCTTTTGAGTGGGATATGTTGAACTCGTGTTACCATACGGCTCGATCGATACGTCCTAAACTCACAGACGCTGAAATTAATTTGAAAGTTAAACAGATCCTCCACGCGCTTTGTCTATCACAGCGCGTCTCTCGAGTGAGCGTTGGAGATAAAAATAAAAACAATGTGGGTGTGAACTGTCACCTTATGTTTGGTTTTTATCTCTGGGATATTTTTCGCACGTAGACAGAAATAAAAAAGCAAAAATATAATAATAAAGTTCTAAGAAAGTAGACAGCCTGAGGGTTTAGAGTATCACTGCACTGATACCATATTTCTAAGGAATT